TAAAAGAGACTTAAGAGCCACAGCGACCAAATACAATAAGGAAATGGTGGTAGATTTTATAATAATGGACCTTAATAAATCATATTCCCTGTGTCCACACACCTTTTGCAATGTTATGTTGCTATTCTTCCTATTGAAAGGTGAAAACTATTTCTCCTCTGGCTTGAATCTGGGCTGACTTCATGACTTGTCTTGGCCAACAGAATGTGGAGTAAGCGATGATGTGAAAATTCTGGAGCTTAGGTCTTAAGAAGCCTGTAGCTTCTTCTCTTGCTCTCTCGGAATCCTGAGACCACCAAGCTGTGAAGAAGCCCAGTCTAGCCTCTTGGAGGATGAGAGGCCTTGTGAAAGAGAACCAAGACATCCCAGCCAATAGCCAGCACTACACACCAGACTTCTGAAGCAGCTCGTCTTGGGCCTTCCAGGCCCATCGAGCCATCAGATAACCACAGCTGTATGAGCAATCCCAAGAGAGACTTGTAGAAGGACCACCCAGAGTGCCAGGCCACAGTACAGTGCCACTAAATTTTGGAGTGATTTGCTACAGAAAAATGGACAATAAAAACAGAAATCTTATTTGGATTCTCACAAAAACAAACCAAACATTTTAAAAATTAGGCAACAGTCAGGGAATTTTAAATGCTGGATGTTGATAATATCATGACGTAATTGTTTTGTTAGGTATGATAATGATACTGTGGCTATGTGGGTTTTTTTTTTTTTTGAGTCGTTTTTAGAGATACAAATTGAAATATTTATAGATAAAAGGAAGTCATATGATATTAACTTCAAAATAATCCAAAGACAGTGGGAGTATGGTGAAACAAGATTGGCCTTGAGTTGATAATTGTCGGAGGTGGATAACGTATACATGGTGGTTCATTATATTCTCTTCTCTTGTAATGTTCATTAAATGACATGGACACTGCCGGAGGGCCTAAGGGAGTATTATCCCTTTCCCTTACTGTGCACTGGAAGCTTCCAGCTTCTCTACTTCCACCAGCAGGCCCTCTGCCCCCACCAGTGTCTCTGTGGCACCTGCTGGTCCCTGTGGCCCCAGTAGTGCTAGCTCATTGGGCCTGCTCCCCGCAGGATCTCTCTATTCTCCAGGTCCCAAACCTCCAGTGGGCCACCAGGCCAGTGGCTGAGCTCTGGATGCGACGGAAGACTCTCTGAAGGCTCTTAATCCCCAGGAACAGGCCACATTCAGTCCCAGAGGAAGGCAAGAGGCGATAACATCATGAGTCACTACATCTAACGACTTCCCAGCAGAGCTACGGTTGGACACTGAGCCTCTCTCTTCCAAACGTGGCTGGAGAAACACACACTGAAGCCTGGGACTGATTCAGAGAAACACAGAGCAGAGCCAACTCTGCTGTACTCCTGTGCCCCCTGAGCAAGTCGTGAAACCCTTCTGATCTCAGTTCTCTCATTTCAAATGGAACTAATACCCAACCTGTTTACCTCATGGGGTAGTGGGAGGGCTAGATAAAATAATAGATATAGAAGTGCTTTGTTAAATGCTGTGCAAATGAAGCAACTGATCACCACAATGGGAACAGGAGAAGGATGGATGGTGGTCTTGGCTTTGGATGGTCTTCTAGTGAATTTAATGTGTACCTTTGCTCCTTAGCTCTGGTTTAGAGTCCCCTTTCATTCTCCCTTCCCCTACTTGCCTTTCCCAACTAAAGTTCCACAAAGGAGGTGATAATGAAGGACATCAAAGATTTTGAGATGTGACAGTCCGGGTCTCAGAAGAAAACAGGTGGTGTACTCAGAAAGTGTTTAACCGAAGAAAGTTTAACAGAGGAACTTTACAGGGAGAAGGAGAGGGTAAGAGAACCAGCAAGAGATGGCGAAGCCCACAGGGACTGGCAATCATAGGAAGCTGTCAGTGCAGAAAGGGAATGGTGTCACTGTGGCCCTGTAAGAGCTAGAGTCATGGAAAGGAGTCACCTAACAGGAGCTGTGCCCATAAAGACAGCCCTACAGGCAGAACTGGGCCAGGCAGGGAGGAAGTCAGGAGGTGAATACCCTAACTTCTTTCTTCTCCAGTCCTTCAGCATCCCTCAGTACTTCTACTAGCTGAACCCAATCAGAAAACCAGAGGGCAAGGGATCCTGGGTGATACAGTCCTTAGAGGTCAGCCTCTGGGGCCGAGAGCAGGGCAGAGAAGGATGGAGCCTAGTTTGCAAGTGGAGAATAGTTGATATTGGGAAATGAGTCATGGACGAGATGGGATGGGAGGTGCGAGATCACGGTTTGAGTGGCTATGGGTTGAAAGTCTTGTATCAGTACATCCATTTATAATTGTAGTTGAGCACATGATCAGGATACCAGGGCATGGTCAGGGTTTGGACCACAGAAGGGTCTCACAAGTGGTGAGAAGTCAGTCAGCTCTTCTTTGTCTAGGATCCTGACCCATATGTTCCTTTGCTCCTAGGGGAGCCCTCCCAGCCTCCCAACAGCAGCTGGCCCCCATGCCAGAATGGGAGTCACGCCGAGTCCGCCCCAGCTGCAAACCTGACCTTCTCCTCCTATTACCAGCACTCCTCACTAGTGGCGGCCATGTTCATTGTGGCCTACGTGCTCATCTTCCTCCTCTGCATGGTGGGTAATGCGCTGGTCTGCTTCATCGTGCTCAAGAACCGGCACATGCGCACCGTCACCAACATGTTTATCCTCAATCTGGCTGTCAGTGACCTGCTGGTGGGCATCTTCTGCATGCCCACCACCCTTGTTGACAACCTCATCACTGGTGAGTGTAGCCAGTGGAGGCACTGGGAGTACCTGCCCCTGAAATCATTGCTGGCCTGGTCCCTTGGCTAAGATGCTATTGTCTCAAACTCTCAAGGCAGTCTCATGGTCGAGGAATTAGACTAGATAATAGATGTAACGAATTAATCATTTTCTTTGTTCCTGCATTGTGTGACTTACTCTTCCTGCATTATCTTAATCTTCACAACAACCTAGTGAAGTATATGTTATTATTATCCCCATTTTATGGATAGAGAAACTGATGCTCAGAGGGATTAAGGAACGGGTCTGTAGTTACACAGCTAAATGTCAAATCCCACATTCTTACACCCATATTTTTAACAACTATGCCTCTCAGTCTTACTCTCCCAGGTAGCTCCCATAAGTAGAACTAGACCAGTGGGAAGAAGTGGTTGGGAGGCAGGTTTCTTCTTAATAATGACCTAAGAATTCACTTATTTGTGTTGTTCTCCAACAAAAGACAGTTCTGTCCCATAGGTAGTGAGCTCTCTGTCACTTGGGAGTGCGTAAGTCAGGACTAGCTGGCTATTTAGCAGGGATTTGGTAGAAGGAATTCAAGCAGAACTGGACCACCTGGCCTCTAAATTCCTGCCTGTTCATCCTGCAAGTCAGAAGGCTCCCCCGTCACCCTCTCTTCTGTTTCAGAGTAAGACTCCACGGACCCTGGGACTCTGAACTTCCAGACCTGCGGCGACTCTAGAAGGTCTGAGTTTGCAAACCCTGAGCTCAGAGTCCTATTTGGAATGACTTACCTGACTTGGGGCAGAGGAGTCACAGCCCAAATTTCTATAGGTTCTAGGACCCAGGAAGTAGAGCTAGGACAGTCCGCTTCCCCTCTGGTATACTGGCTTTCTGATGGAACCTTTAATCACTGATGAATCTCAGGTTCTTTTAAGGCCGCTGAATATAAACTGTGCATCCTTCTTCCCAACACACCCAGACACACACACACACACACACACACACACACACACACACACACACACACACACCAGTTAACAATGATATGGAGAGATTATTAGTTGGTTAAGGTGGTTTTGTCAGTCCTTTTCACATGCCTAAATTTAAAAAATATTGTTTGAATAAACACATTCACACAGTTCAGTAGTCAAAGCTCCCAAAGGTATCCACTAAAAAACCTCCCCTTCACCCCCTGTTCTCTGGCCTCCCAGCTCCTCTCCTGGGAGAGAACCAGTGTTGCTAATTTCTTGTGTTCCTTCCCAAACATATTTTATAAACAAATTTAGGAAATGCTAACTTTCCAGTTGTTTGTGTACCTTTACCTTTTCTCTGCTTAAAAATATAGTATGTGTGTTGTAAATAGGATTCATTAAAGTTAATTTACATGAAGTTAATCCAAATTAATAAATAAAAGTTTTTCATTCTTTTTATGAATGAATCTGTATGAATCTGCTACAATTTATTTAACCAGTCTCTTTTTTCCTTCCTTCCTTCCTTCCTTCCTTCCCCTTCCTTTCTTTCTCTGCCCTTCCTTTCTCCTCCTCTCCTCTCCTCTCCTCTCCCTCTCTCTCTCTCTCCAAATATATTTGAACATTTATTAGGCATCAGGCAATGTCTGAGGCTTAGTAATACAGCGATCAAGAAGAGGCACAGGACTCT